CAACAAACAAATGTTCTCGTGTTTCTTGACCACCAGAGACATAGCACACAGCACAAATCCACTGATTTCCCCCAACTAACCAGCTTACTCTTGGTTACAATTCTATCGAGAACAATCTGCCATACAAACAAAACATGTGTTGCTTCCATTATATAATTCCAGATTGTCTTGACAAAATAACGATCCATATGATTGTCATTCAACATATAGAGGATCCATTACCAGTAATGAGGGATTCAACAAAGGTTGGACCTATCTCCCAAATGGATTGATTCCTAAGCCTATATCGCTAGATCCAAGCAATCCAGAGCAATCCCTATTGTGTAAAATATTCCAAATATGTCGGATGATGTAATCTCGATTCCAGGTGCAAGTTTCACTTCAGCAGTGCTACATACTTACAGGCCACAAGAGATCTTAAGTGTGATCCAAATTCACCCACACCCCACAGGAATCTATTGCATTGATCTTGTACTTCATGCATCACTTCCTATGGGAGTAAAAACAGTTGCAATCAGTATTTTAATAGGTGGATATTGCTGAAGACACAAGTTGCACCTTGTCTGCATAGCTAAGGAACCGATCATCCTATTTCCTTAGTCAACTGGTGATCTTATCAATAAGTACTTGAAATTCCATTTTTGAAAACTTATCTAATATAAGAGGAACTCCGAATACCAGATTGGTATGTCCCCAATGAAAACTCGATATATTACGAGAGAAAGCCAATTTCAACTTAAAATTTGGGGCATGCTATTTGCCGCCAACAAAAAAAAAAATTAATTCAAAATTGATTATATATACATCTTCGGTAAAGGAGTATCACTACCTACAACATATCCAACTTTCAGAAAACGTATTGAATCAGAAAAAATCGATGCTCGCCCGAAAATCATCGGAAAAGCCGAACCTCGACGTAAACTGAGGACACACATCCAGCGGCGGATCCAGGATATAAGAGAGCACTGGGCCGCATTTGAATAGAATATTAGATACCATAAACAAAAATATATAATAATATAGTTTTCATTACAATGTCAATTGTACAAGAAGGTCTTTTAATTTAGCAAATTCATCAATAATATAATCTCCATCCATACTGATAATATACTCTTTTTCAAAGAAAATAGCTAAGTAATCAACATGAAATTCATCGCTCATTTTGTTGCACAAATCAATGTTCATGTTCCATTGCTGAAAATATTCTCTCCATGGTAGTTGAAACGGCTAGGTCAACACTAGACAAATCAACCGACAAATCAATTTGTATTATGTGTTCATCCATGTTTCCTCCAGCTTCTCTAATAATTTTGCAATAGAATAAACTTCATCTTCCTCACATGAGTAGTGCATTCTCCAAAGAATGCATCTCATAGCCTTCAAAGTCTCGAGGCTAAACTCTTGAGCAAGTTTGTAAATATTTTCTTCATCAAAACACCAGAAAGAAGGGTTAGAATCTAGTGCCCCACTCAATTGAGGCAATCTAAATGATGACTCAACAAGTTTGTAAATATTTTCTTAATCAAAAGAATGGAAAGAAAACCAGCTCGACGTGTTGGCGGAGAAATCCATTTTGGTCTGCTTGTCTCCTCGTTCTTGTTTTGTTTTGGGGGGACTGAGAATTTTTTTGAATTTTGCGAGGAAGGGTGTGCTTTAGTTTAGAGTTTTTATTTTTATTTTAATGAAACTTACATTTTTAGAGTTTTCATGTCTTTTTTCAAATAAAGTCATTGGGGCTATAGAAAATTTAGTATAAATTTAGAGTAATGTTTGGATATGTTCATCTAAACCATTTTCCTAGTTACACAAAATAACAAAATCCTATTATCAAATAAAACTAGAAAGGATTTTAAATAGCATTGGGCCAAATACCTAAATCGAAAAAATTTATAAGCACTAAACTGACTCTGGATCCGAATGAGGGCTGGGCCGGGGCCTGGGTTGGCCCAGCCCTGGATCCGCCACTGCACACATCCATGAATCATCACTAAGCAGATGCGTCGAGTTTTTGTATTTCGAACAATTTTTTGACGATTTCCAACAGGCAGACTACAAGCCAAAAATTCTTGCGGCCGGAACCTGGCCGAGCCAAAAGAATCCGACGAGCGTACGAAGCCGGGCCGACGGGAAACGGCGTCCAAAGCCAGGTTGGGCCAAAAAAACCTTTTCGGCCTGGTGGCGCTCTGGCCGAACTTTTCTTTCGGCCCGGCCTGGTCAACGCTGGACGCAATTTTTCTAACGGCGTCGTCAACGACGGGCTGAAGGAAAAGTTCGGCCGGGGCACCTCCCGGATAAAAGGTTTTTTCGGTCCGCTCCCCGCCTGGCCGAAAAAACCCTTCGGCCTGGCGACGCTTAGGCCGCAATTTTTCTTCGGCCCGCCATCAATTTCGCCGGAAACTGGAAAAACTTGTCAGAAATTGAAATGTTACCTATTTTCCGACGGTCGGCGAAGACGAGAAGTTGGCCGACGGCGGAGGCACTGGGCTCGGCGACAGACCTTTTTTGTTGAAAAGAGGCAAATGTTATTGAAAGTCACATTTATAGAATGAAAAAGAGGTAAAATTCAAAATTTGAATTTTTTCGTATTTTTTTTAGTTGGATGCAAATAGCAATTTTAATGGCGGCAAATAGCCGGTCACTAAAAATTCCTCCACAAAAGGCTAACTTTTGACTGGGTTGAATTGTAGAGTAGGTATACTAAAGAAATTAGCCAACAACCTCTTAATGCCCCCAACAGCTCTAATAGAACCATTAGAGAACAATAAGATTGTCGCCCTACAAAAAGTGTGAAATTTCAAGTAGTTTACAACAAAGATGCAATGCAATTTGTTCTTCAACCGTGGCTTTTAGTGGTAAACAAGAGAAAACCTCCATTGCCATGGTGAAAAGGTAAGGGAAAAGATGATCCCTTTGCTTTAACTTCTTTTGTGGCGAGAAGTAACAACACATTGATGTACCTAACCCTCCACCACCGTACCAAAAGAAGTCTAACATCCATACAAGGTAAAGGACTATTATGCCCGAGGTGCGGCAGATCGAGACGTGGCGTGTGCCTTACCCTTTGGAGTACCACCACAATCCCCCACCAAGTACCCGCCATGACGTCACATTCTTGAGTACTCTCCATGATGCCACATGATCGAGTAACCACCAAGAGACCCTGCATCAACAATGGCAAGTGCCTATTCATCGCTCTTCAGCCCAATGGACTATTACTCCCCAGCGTTAGAGCACGGATGTTCGGCGCACGATCATGGAAGAGCCACCTTACTCTGATAGGCATTGCCATAGAAAGAATGAGCGCCCTAGCACGACACATTGGTTCCATCCACCGCGTCCTCTCATTGCTACACTTATCGCCCATCACATGAAGAAGAACAAAAGATGAGATGGACGGGGTGGGCGAGGAGATGGAAGCGGGTGACGAGATGGAAGCGGACAAGTAGATGGAGGAGAAGTGGCATGAGGGTCCCTCGAGTTCGTAGTTGGTGTGTTTATTTTCATTTGATGTTTAAGTTAGACTTTCTTGAGAAAACCAACAATGTGGTGTGTTTATTTTCATTTGATTTTAACTTAGACTTTCTTGAGCAAACAAACAGTGTGGTGTGTTTATTTTCATTTGATTTTAACTTAAACTTTCTTGAGCAAACTAACAAAGTCAAAGACGTGCATGCAACACACATAAGAATTCAACACTTAAAATTTATCATCATATGCATACTCTCAAGACCATTATCAATAGTGGAGTGAGCAATACTCAACAACACTTTCTTAATAGCATATGCCTTAGTATGCTTCAAGGTGCCAATATTCACCCACCATTCTTCAGAGTTACTGGCAAGGTTGATCTCTACTCTTTTCACAATCATCAAAACCATCAATCCTCTTCAATCAAGTTAACACTTAACCAGTGTTATCCTTGTTCTTACACTTTCACTTCATATGACCTGATTTCTCGCAACTATAGCGGAGCAATAAAGCGCAATTCTTAGAGAATTGGCCGATGATCATTTGGCTACCACGAGGGGTACTATTCTAATTGGTGTGGATCTGATTCGATTTTCTAGTATGATTCTTGAACCTTTTGCATATATTATGATTCTTAGGTGGTACAACTCTTTTCCAATACCACCTCTTCACCTTCTGCCACCATTCCCCTGTAGCAAAGAAAGCCAAAACAAAAAACATATCCTTCCAAACAACACCAGGCGGATTAGCAAGAAAAGAAAGAAAATGTACAAATTCACTGATTAAGAAAGGTCAATCTCCCTGCAACTTTCATTATCCTTCTTGGCTCCATCGTCTCCGGGAGAAGCCGCATCGCAGATGCAACGGTAATACTCGATACCTATCGAGAAAAAAAAACCGAGCAAACAAAATCTCCCCTTTTGACAAAATATAGGGTAATTATTATAAATGATCCAAAAACTATTCACTTTGTATAAAACGGTCACAAACTTTTAATTTTGCACGTTTCAGTAACATATGTTTGGACTAATAACAAAAAGGTAATTTGGTCCATCTCCATCCAAAATTCCGTTAGTTTAGTCCAATCAATTATCCATTCAGCATCCACATCATCAAAATAATTAATAAAAAATAAAATAAGAACTAATTACACCCTAACCAACCCACCCCTATCCAATCCAACTCATTCCTCTTTATTCCTTAGATCTATCCGGGCAAAGAAATAGAGCATAAGACAAAAATTCTCCAAAAATCCAGATCCAAAATGCCCATTACCGAGGGAGGCTTCTTCTTCCCAACCTTGATGATATATAAATTATAATCCATCAATCGCTTTCCAAGTAATCGATCAACATTCAGCAGCAGAGCAAGAATGGCGCCGCGCACTCTCGCCGCCTCAGCAGGTAGCTCCTCGCCGTCTCTGATTTCATTGATTTTCCTACTCTCTCGCATTCTCATCCCCAACCCCCTTTCGATTCAGATGAAGATGGGATTCACGACCATTTGCTGTGCGCGGACGTGAAATCTGGCAGTCACAATTCCGCCGCTGCCGCCGGCGGGATCGGAGGACCCAAATTGCGCATCAACAGCCTAATCAAGTTGGACGGCGGCATCCCGATCTTGCACTGGGTGAAGGTACGTGGGAGAACCTTTCTCTGCTTGTCCAAATCGGAGGGAGGGGACGAGTTAGTATCGTTCAAAAATGCTTCCCCGACCTTGCCGCCATCGCCTTCCCTGAGTATTTCCTATATGCTAGGAGCTGGTGGTGGTGGTGGTGGAGTGTTTCCATTTGGGGAGATGGTGGTGGAGAGGGAGAGAGATAGAGAGGAATGGGTTGGATTGGATCGAGATGGTGGGTTGGTTAGTTTTTAATTATTTTAATTATATTTTTTTATTAATGACGTGGATACTGATTAGATAGGTGACTGGACTAAACTAACAGAATTTTAGATGGAGATGGACGGAATTACCTTTTTGTTATTAGTTAGTCCAAACATATGTTACTGAAACGTGCAAAATTAAAGGTTTGTGACCGTTTTGTACAAAGTGAATAGTTTTCTGACAATTTATGATAATTACCCACAAATATACCGTGACATTCATGAATCCATCACTGGCATCACAAGTCGAGCGATCGTTGGGGAAATTAAAATGTGAGGACGGTGGCACGACATGACAGCCCACGATCAAATGCAATTCCGATTTACGAGGGTTTAGTTAAGCCCATAATCGGAATCCTGTACGGTTAATATGACAGCAACCGAACGTCTTAAAATTGTTAGAAATCGAACAGGAAAAATTAGGGTTACCGAATTGGGTTGAGTCGCGGACTAGGTCGCTCTCTTTAAGACGTTCGCGGCACTGTCTTCGTTGCGCACGACAGACTATCAGCCGGTCGCCTCAAGGGTAAACATCCACTTCTTGACTCGCTGTTTGTGCAAAACCGGAGCTCTCTAAATCTCACTCTCTCTCATGTTTCTGCTCTACATATTCGTGTTTAGAGGATCTGGGTAGTCCTCTATTTATAGCATTAGAAAACCCAAAATTTCCCTCTTTCGTGGGAATAAGTCACACTTAATTAGGAAGATAATTACTCCATAATTAAAATGCATTCTATTAAAATAATTAACTCTAATTATCTTCATAATATTTTTATTAATTATCCTTCTTATTTTCGTATATAAAATATACAGAATAATTAATTGGAAATTTCATTTATAACTTTTCAAATCTATTCATCCCAACTTTTAACGCAAAAGAAATATCATATCATAAGTTCCACGTTACAACAAGTCAACAACATCAATTGCCATAAGTTTTAGTACCCAACGGAAACCATAACATCAAATTCGATAATATATGTAAAAACCAAACGAGCTCTTACGAATAACAACAAAAACAACGACCAAAGTGCAAAGTGCTAGTGAATAACGATTTTTATTTTAGGGTGCCTGAACGCCACCTCCGGTAGCTCTCCTCCTCATACATGATCATCTGTAATTCTTCCTCTGCCCTCGTCCTGGCTTAATTTGTTTCAGCTATAGCTAGAACGCCTCTCCTCAATCACAGGCTGCGGGAAAAGTTAAGCTAATCATCCACAAATTCATAATAATGATTTCCTGCAATTAATAACCCATATATTTCTTTATTTTTATTGATTTACCTGTCGCAGTCGTAGTCCGCCGGTGGGAGTTTGAATCTGCAGGCGTCGGCAACTTTCTGAACACGACCTTCCTTGTAGCCGGGGTTACTAGCAGAACCGGCGACGCATTTGCAGGCAGCTATCTTCTTCCTCTGCTCCGTTTTCGCATCGTCGAGAAACCCTTTGAGCCCATCGCAACACGCCTGAGGGATGGTTTCGGCGCTCCCCTGGACATACGCCATACAGGGCCGCGATGCTTTCTTATAAGCACCACACCTTGGTTCCGCCGCCTCCGCGGCTTCACCGGCGATCATCGCACTGACAATGATGACCGCCAAGGCGGAGAGCAAGAAGAGGTTCTTCATCGTTTTGTATCGCCGCGCCGCTAGCAAACTGGAGGTATTGTGTTTGGGCGTGGAAATGCATGTGGTTGGGTAGTGGGTTTATATAGTGTTGAAGACGTGCATTCATGAATATATACAAATATCGTAATTATCAACCGCAATTTGTCGTGATATGGATTTTTGGTATGTGAGACGAGGCATTGAAACTGCTTTGCAATACGGTACGATACGTACGTAACTGAATGAAATATCAGGCAAGAATCGGTTGATACAATAAGATCAAATTAATGTAGAGAGAGAGAGATGTCGAGATCAGTTATATGTAAGTAACCCGGAATTTTCTGTAATTTCTGGTTGAAACAAGACACAAACTGGCATTTTGCTGGCGCTACGTTTACGCAATTACGCATATCTGTTGTTTTATATAACTTCTCTTACAAGAATTCATAATTTCGTTTATTGGGTGGGAAGTGGGAATCTAGGTGCATTAATCGTGTCTTAAATACAAGGCCTGCTATCTCAAACTTTTTCATCCTCCCGATTACTTAACTCATGGGCTAGGATGTGGCCTGGTTTGTTGCACTATCGGCCGACAAATTTAATAGCAAAAGGACAAATTTTACAATGCTATATAGTATTAGTGTTATAGGTTTTTGTCTTTATGGTACAACTTAAAATTGTATATTTATGTTATGGTACAACTTTAGATTGTACCTGTACTTTTTGTACAAATTCTTTTATGATACAACTTGAACTTGTACCTTTATGTGATGGTACAACTTCAAGTTGTAAAATTGTACCATAACATAATGGTACAAATTGATTTATGATACAAGCTAAACTTATACATTTAATGTTATGATACAACTTTGAGTTGTACATTAAAGCACCAATGCTATATAGCATAGTAGAAGTGTTCAACCAAAAGTTGGAGAAGTTGGGCTTCCGCACAAATCTCATTGTGTAAGAAATATGGATCTAGGATATTCGGGGTGTTGTGAGTTGTGACTAGGGTTGTCAAATGTATTCATAATTGTGGATATCTGACCCTCTCCGACTTAATCAGCAAGGGGATTTCCCGCATAAATATAGTACAGGAAGGGTATGGGTAATACCCACAAAAAAGTGGTGGGAATGAATTTTGGTTTTCCCTCTCCATCCTCATAATTGTTTTGCATGTAATTCATATACTACATACGCTTAATTACATATCACTCAATCTCTGACTTCTCCATCTTTCATTAAAATTTTAAAGGTTTAATACTTAATACGTTATTTTGGCCCGAATTATGATCATATAATCAACTTTGGCTCGTGGTTTCAGAAATTAACATCTTGGCCTCAACTATGCAACATATAGACTCAATTGGCCCGACACATGGTTTAACCGTTAATTTGGACGATCAACACCATTGACCGTTAGTCAACACGCCATGTCATTGCCTCGTCAGCCTAAAAATCATTAAAAATTTAAATTCAAATGATTTTCCTAATTTCTATTATTTATCATTATCAAATTAAATAAAAAATAAAATTATAAAATATTGATATTTTTTTATTTTTTGGAAGTTATAAATTTTATAAATTAACCAAAAACTATCAAATTATTTTAAATTTAATTTTTGATTAATTTGGCAATGGAAAATAATTTGAATTTTTTTAATGATTTTTAAGGTGACGAAGCAATGACATGGCGTGTTGACTGTCTAAATTAACGCTCAAACCACCAATTGAGTCTATATGCTGCATAGTTGAGGCCATGATGTTAATTTTTGAAACCACGGACCAAAGTTGATATATGATCATAGTTCGGACAAAAATAAGGTATTAACCCAATTTTAAATAATACAACGCTAAAAAGGTTCATTTCACTTTTTCAATTCCATCAATACATACATGACACATTTTATCACTAATTTTCTCTAAGAACTATTTTTTATATGTTTCTCATACTATTTGTGGTTCATTTATTATATATAATCTATGTTTAAGGTTCTAGCCCTAACATTATACATATTTTCACTTAATTACATTAATTTAATGTTGAATTTTGTTTGGATTTTCAAGAAGGGTATTATCCACAAGTAATACGTAACGCTCCGGAAACATAGAGGAGAATCCCAAGTTTTCGCGATCAAGCTCTCGCGGCTGCTAGGGTTCGCTCTTGATGGTGGCGCTGTCACCGTCCTCCTCGCCGGCGCCAATGAGTAAACCCCCGGATAATATGGCTGGGGCAAGGCGTACGGCGATCAGCTCTTCACCGGATGGCAAGAGTGCTCGAGAAACTGTTCAGCCAAAGAAAAAAGTGAGACCGTTGAATATGTCGGAAACAGTGAAGATCGGGGAGGAGACCTCTACGATAGAGATGGAGACAGAAAACACCCAACCCCATGGGACAGCTTTGCAGGGAGCGTGACAGGAAGCAGGCTCTAAGCTGTTCAGCGACATTATACGCGATGGGGGATGGTATGTAGGTGAATCAGATTCGGAGGATGTTGCTGAGAGGGAGAAGGAAGAAGATGATGTAATTGATGAAGAATCCTATGATCCACGATGCCCTCCTGTCTTGTTTACTGCTGCGCAAAAGATAAAGTGGAGACGAGAATGGAGATCAACCCTAATAGTGAAAGGCTTGGGTCGTGACGTACCATACATCCCTTTGGCAAAGAGACTGAATTACCTGTTGGCGAGACATGGTGACATCCAAATCTCGGATTTGCAAAATGGATGTTTCTTAGTCAAGTTCAGAGACCAACGAGATTATCAGCTAGCGGCGGAAGGAGGTCCATGGTTGATGGGGGATACATACCTGACTGTTCACTGGTGGTATAAGGAATTCAACCTATGGAAGGCAACTGTGAAATCCGCAATCGTGTGGGTTCAACTACCTTATCTGCCCATTGAGTTTTTCAATGCTGAAGCTGTGACGATGATTGCGGAACTTATTGGCACTCCAATAAGAGTTGATCGTGCAACAGAGATAGGGGCAAGAGGAAACTATGCTCGTGTGAGCGTTGAAGTAGATCTGACAAAACCTTTGCTCGGGAAATACAAGGTAGAAGGGATCACCTATTTGATCCAATATGAAGGACTGGATGATATATGTGGAGAGTGTGGACTATATGGAAATCGCATAGAGAAATGCCACTGCCGCATAATGGAGGAGCAACCGCCAAGCCCCATCCCGGGGTACGTCCCGGAAACTCAAGGAGAGGACCAAGCGGAGACACGTGTCTATGGCGACTGGATGATTGTCAAAAGAAAACAAAGAAGATATGAGCAAAGGGCAATACCAACGAATAAGCGAGTGGATGGCAACACCATGGGGAGACATAAAAATCGCTTCCATGCCTTTCAAGAGGACGAAGTAAGACAGACGGGCGCAAAGGTTACTGAGAAAAAGAGTAGTGAGACATATGCAAGAAAGAATCAACAAGAGAGAGTGGAGCAAAACGTGCCGCCCTCAGAGGGGAATAAGCCGAATGCTGCTATCCGGAACAATGTGCCTAATAATTCCTCTACTAAACTTGACCCAAAAGTCCATGTCGGAGGCAGTAACAAAGTGGGTGGGAAGGGAGTACAAGGTATGCAAGAGAGAGATGCCCATGCAGGCCATGTAGTACACGTACCACTGTGAGCGAAACAAAACAAGGACAAAAGCTCCACCGTGAACAAATTATCTACGCTGAATGGTGCGGGTAACCTATCCCCTTCGAGGAATAAATGAGGATCCTAAGCTATAACTTCCGCGGGTTGGGGAGTTAGCGTGCGATTAAAGCCCTGAAGTCGCTCTTGCGACTCTACTCCCCACAGCTTGTGTTTCTAACGGAGGCAAAGCAAACTGACGAGGAAAATAAGGTTACAACTTACAAGAATGGAATTGGGGTTCGAGGAAGGAGAGAGTGCTTCTGCTGACCTCTCAAGCGGTGGTAGAGCTGGAGGAGCAGGCTTGTGGTGGCGGGAAGGGATAAACATTGAGGTTATGTCTCTGTCCAGGAACCATGTCGACGGAAAGGTGTGTGAGGATGAAAGGGGAGTATGGAGGTATACGAGTGTGTATGGTTGGTCAGTGGAAGAAGATAAGTGGAGGACGTGGGACATGATCAATCGACTAGCAGCGCAATGGGATGGTCCATGGCTGTGTGGGGGGACTTCAATCAAATCCGTAATATGGAGGAGAAGCGAGGTGGAGGAGCTGTAGCTGAGGATTTGCTCATTAGTTTTGAACATTGCCTGACAGAAGCGGGACTATGGGATATGGGATACCATGGCTATCCTTTTTCGTGGGAGAATCGTAGAACGGGAGAAGCTTTTATTGAAGAGCGTCTTGATCGATTTGTGGCTTCTGATAGCTGGTCAACCACTTTCCCCCAAGCTCGAGTTCTACATCTCGACAAAGAGCGCTCCGATCACCGACCCATAGTCTGTGACATCGAAGGGGAGGCTGATGCGGACCCAAAATGGGGGTGGTCATTTAAATATGAGCCACATTGGGCAAATCATCCGGAATGCCCAAAGGTGGTGGAGGAAGCCTAGCAAGAGCAAGGAGGAATGAATATTTTAACGAAACTTCATTTTTGCAGGTCAAAACTTGACTTCTAGAGTCGCCGAGTTTTCCCTCGGTTCGGGCGACAGAGAACAAAAATAAAAAAAGCTTTGGCCGCTTAGGATAGACATCCGAGGACAGAAAAGAATATGATGCAACGTAATCAACTTGAGAGTGAACTTCTGGAGTTGGAAACAAACGGGGAGATCTATTGGAGCCAGAGATCAAGGGCTGACTAGCTTCGCCGTGGTGACAAAAATATGGCATTCTTTCATAAGAAGGCCAAGCGAGAAGGAAGCGTAATACAATCCAGAAGATTAAGGATGCGGCGGGGCTATGGCACACAAGTCCGGACCAGATTTTTAATTGTTTCATCAACTATTTTTCTGCTTTATTTGCAGCTAGCTAGGAGCCACAGAGCACCCCAGTGTTGGATGCGATTTTTCGGTCCATATGTGACGAGCATAATGCGCAGCTTCTTCGCCCGTTCAATAAGGAGGAAATCTCCTTTGCACTGCGGCGGATGGGCTTGCGAAAGGCCTCAGGTGAGGACGGATTGTCGGTTCTATTCTATAAGAAGCACTGGTATGTAATTGGGGAGGAGGTGATGTCAGTTGTCCTGGAAATTCTAGAAGGAGGCGCGATCCTACCTGGCCTTAATCATACTCTCATTGCTCTGATACTGAAAGTGAAGTCACCAACGACCCCACAGGAGTTCAGAATATTGCTAGTATTTTTTGGGCAGATGGGAAGATGCGGATGGATTATCATTTTTTCGGGGATTCAGTTAGTTTTGATACTACATACAGACAATAAAGAGTATCGACCACTAGGTATGTGTTCTTATATTTGTGATTATTCTGTATTATAGTTATTTTGATTTGGTATTATGTTGTTATCTGTTAATACTATGGTGGTATTTTGTGGTATTTATTTTTTAACATTGTGTATCATATGGTATGTGCAGCTTTGTTTGTTGGTTTCAACAACCATCATCAACTCAATTGAGGGGATACGATTTGTTGTGGTCTACAACTTGCAATGTGAAGTTCCATCACATCCCTTCTACTTTGATTTTGAAGCGATGGACAAGGACAGCAAAAACTGGTGGGAATTTTGGATTTGCAGTTTCGTCTACTGAGGCTCCGTCAAAGTATCGGTCTCGTCTGTTCAATATTTCAACTGTTTCTGCTTCGCTTATCAGTAGGGTCTGTTTGAATGATGATTTGTATAAAACAACCATGGATTTCATGAGTGATTTGATCAAGAAGTGGGAAGGTTTACCAATTGTCGAAACAGCTGGTACGGGTGGATCGACCAACTGTGAGAGTAAGTTCCCTCGCCTCCTTTTGTTTGTGTATATGATTTTGTTATTTTTTTGTCTGTCAAGTTTTTTTACCATGTTGTACCATGTGGTATAGGGTGGTTTTCGGTTTACTTCTGATGTTTTGTAATACTATATTGTATAATGTGGTATATGTTTCATTTGTGATAAGTTGATTGTTCCTTTCTTTCTTTTGTTGCACAATTTCTTTGCAGTGATGGTGTATATAACTTTGTGATGTTATTTTTGTTTGCGAAGTTGTTTTACCATGTTGTATAGTGTGGTTTTCTTTATTGTTTCTCGTAATGTGTTGGAATACCATATGGTATTATGTGGTTATGTTTTCTACTGATAAGTTGAATGTTTTTTTAGTTGTTCCTATATATTTGTTATTGATTGTAGTATATATTTCTTATTTGTAGGTGATGTTCCAGTTCAAAATGTGAAGGGGTTTAAGCATAAGAAGGATTTATTTAAGCCTTCGAAACGACCAATTACAGAAGCTGAGATTGGAAGGGCGGCTAGTAGGAAGAAGAAAAAGACTAGCAGATTGGAAGAGGAGAATTTGAAAGCTGTGGACGAAAGTTTGAAATTGAAGTTTTGATAGTTGTTTGAAGGATGTGGAGTTTTATTAGCTCTTTTGATGTTTTTGAATTTTACGTGTTTCTTGGATTTTGTTTTTGCTTTTGTTTGAAGTAGTATTGATCTGCACACGAGAAGGATTTAATGTTTCGTGGATGAATTTAACCTTTGATATAATGTTTTACTATGATTTTGAAAAATGTGTTCAGTTACCATAAAATACCATATGGCGTGTTGTGGTGTTTTTAAAAATGTTTATACCATGTTATAAACATTTTGATTACTGTAATGTTAGATCTGTGTTGTGTTCAGTTACCATAAAATACCATGTGGCGTGTTGTGGTGTATCTAAAAATCTTTATACCATATGGTATACTATGGTATAAATATTTTTTATGACTGTGATCTTAGATCTGTCTTGTGTTCAGTTACCATAAAATACCATGTGGCGTGTTCTGGTGTACTTAAAAATCTTTATACCATGTTATACCATATGGTATACTATGGTATAAACATTTTGATAACTTTAATCTTAGATCTGTGACATTAATAAAGGGTAACATAAAGTACTAGGTTGTTACATAACCATAATAAGTAGTGTTTCAAATGTAAGTTCTAACACACCCATAAGAAAAATACTGAATACCTTGTTTGTTCTCAAAAGCACACAGATAATAAAAATAGTTAACATATTGTTTGTCTTCAAAAGCATTATTTTTAGAAGTAGATGTCTATAGTAGACATTAGATCCATACTGATGTTGTCTCCTTCCCTTACTTGCCTTGATTCTTCATAGCGCAGTACTATGTGGCAGCTTTCATAATCCGATCACGCTCAAGGTTTTCTTTATCAAGGATGATATCCAGCATGAGACACTCCTTGTCTTCATTGATCAAATCCACTCTCTTCCAGTCTGATTGCATATAAGTCTTGTACTTTCCTTCCTAATGGCGCATCCATCCGATTATGTACAATCCACATGAGAGTTTATATGGCTGTGTAATCTTCCCCAGATTGAACCAGTCAAACTTCTCTCAGGGGATTTGTCTGTTTCCACAGTATACACTCATGTAGTTGATTGCATACTAGACAACTCTTTCTGCCACTAGTTTGTATGTCTTTTCAAAGTCTTTGTAGCGGAGACTGTCAAGCACATCAAATCTTATGTTCTTGATGTTGACACAGATCATGATGTAGTGTTCACCATCACCGTAAGGGAAGAACCATTGCATATGAATAAAGTGAGAATGTTAATGGATAATTATAAATATTTTTTGAGGAATATTTTTTGATGTCATACCATATGGTATTTTATGGTTTTTGTTGTGTTACTTACAAGGTCACAGTTCTGGAAGCTTAGGTCTTTTGCCCATTCTTTGTCGGAAATATATTCGTCCACTTTGTCGGAGTATTGGTCTGCACTTAGTGGAGGATTGTTATTGCCTATGTCCAGCTTGCACTCAGCCTTAAAATTTGAAATTATGTTAAAGCAATCATATATTCTGGTATGGTAAGTAAAATATATTAGAAGATGGATAAACTTACTGTCAAATGACTAGAGAAGAACCACTTGGAGATTTTTCCTGTTTTTCCTTGATCTCTGTTCATCCAATCTCCATACCAGTCCACGACATCAGTTGTTATCTGTTGATCTATGTCAACAGATTGCAATGATGACCTTTTGAGTAAGCCTGTGCCATCCTTTCTGCTGAACATTACCTCTTTCCTGTTCAGAACAGTATACCACATTATACCATATGATATTATTCAACATTATACCACATTATACCATGTAGTATTATTCAACATTATACCACATTATACCATGTAGTATTATTCAACATTATACCATACCATACTATACCATAGAATACCATACTATAGTATATGTCATTAAGAAATTAATTGATATTAATAAATTTACTTACTTGGAGACAATTCTGGTGTCTTTGCACCTTATATACTCAAGGATGTCATTGAAAACTTCACCAGGAGTTGTTTGTGGTGGTGTAACCATCATTGCAATTGGGATTGCATCTATGGCACCATCTTTTGCTTGAACTGATGCATTTGCTACTGATGAGCTCATTCCTGGTATTGGTTGTGAAATTGGAGTATTCAGGTTATCAATGTAAGCAGCCAAGCATGCATTTATCTCCAGTAGCCTCTCCTGGTTGTTCGAGTA